ATGTTCACCCCTTCCCCAGAGCATTTTTGGGATTATATTTTCCAATGTGCATTATTTTGCACTTATTGATGTTAAATTTCATCCGCCCTTTTGTTGCCCGGCCACCCAGTTTTGTGAGCTCCTGTTGTCACTTGTCACAGTGTTGGATGTAACAATCTTGAGTCCTTTTGTAGCAAAACAAAGCAAATGTTGCCATGTCAATGTTCACCCCTTCCCCAGAGCATTTCTGGATATGTTGAACAGCGCAGAAGACCCTTGTGGGACCCTGCTATTCACCTCTCCATTGTGAGAATGTCCCATATTTTCCTTCCCTTTGGCTACATCTAGACAGCAGCGCTATTTTGGGATTCCTGAAGTATCCCAAAATAGCAATTCTGCATCTTTAAATGTGCCCGTTATTTCAAAATATATTTCAAACGAATGAGCGTGTTATTCCGGTGTCCCTGTAACCCTCATTCCATGAGGGCTAAGGGACTTGTCGAAATAGCACTTTATTTCAAAATGTATTTTGAAATAAGCTACGCAATTTGCGTAGTGCAAATTGCGTAGCTTATTTCAAGGTAAGGGCAGAATGTAGATGCACCCTTTTGTGCCCTGTCTTTGAACTGGTAAGGGTGCATCTACACAGTGGGGCTTAACTCGAAATAAGCTATGCAAATTGAGTGGTGTCAGTTGTGTAGCTTATTTCACAATGGCTTACTTTGAAATTGAGAGTGTCTACACAGCACTTATTTCAAAACAGAGCACTCTTCCTCCGACTTCCCTTGCTCCTTGGATAATGAGGGTTGCAGGAGTCGGAGTAAGAAGTCCTCCAGCTTGACAGTATTTTGACAGTATTTTAAAATAACTGCCTGTTGTGTAGATGCGGAGTCAGTTATTTTGAAATACAATAAAACCCCAATTGTCCGGCATCCCGTGTTCCGGCACTCCTGAAAGTCCGGCACCAGCTGGAACCCGAAAGTGCTCCGGCCAGCCGGACAATTGGAGCTCCCCGAAGTGGCGGCGGAGAGGAGGCGAGAGGCAGGCAGTGTTCCCAGCCGACCCC